TGACATCGTTGGAGGACCGGGATGTCATCTCCGCCACACCTGTGTCAGATGGTCATCGTAAAGGGCCGAGAAAATCCTCTTTTTCCGAGGGCATGCTGAGGAAGACCATTAAGAGCAAGTAGTTCATGGAGTAGTCCCCAGACCGCTACCTTGGGGAACACCTTCGTATTGTTGTAAACTCAGAGAAAGTGATACAAAGTGTCACCCAGTATATGTGTCACCCAGTCTTAATTATGACAAGTGTCGCACTCGGCACAATAATGCAAGAATGGCGCTGGTTGAAAGGTGAATATATATTATCAATGATAAATCTGTGATGATGACTGATTCTGCATTAAACTAGCGTCAGTTTAAGTTGCGTTTGAGTTTATGTTCGTGGATTATGGCTGAAACAGCCCGGTCATTTGCACGAGCGCGCTTAATGTTTTTATCAAATGCAGAAACTCGTTTAAACATTTGTCCTGAAAGTGTTGTGGATGTAGTTTTTAATTACTGCGTATTAATGACCAACAAATTACAGTCGCGAGTTTTCCACGTGACAAATTTTCAGCATTGAATACTAATGACCGCATATATAACGTAACTTAAATAAGAAAGTAATTTCCTTAAATCAGTTTATTATTAATTTTGTCATGGCGTACACAAAGCGCAGGCCGTATGAAAGAATGCGCAGCGCTTTCTCAGGACTAACCTAAGCAATGTATAGATCTTCCTTCGCCTAAGTATTTTCCAACCTGTCCTCGACTCAAGTCCATTACATTCAGCGTTCGACCCCACAGACACATTCATAAATTTTTACATGCTGTTCATTCAAAACGGGAATTTTCTCAAGTATAAATTAATATTATAATATATTGGCGTATTGTGTATATATAGGCATAGATTAGGTTAGGTTAGGTGTTTAGGTTCTGTTGGCGATTATTTGTATTTGTAGTACGTGGGTGAAGCATTTATAGCGTTGTGATTCGAACAAAATTCGTCAGTGAAGCACTTGTTCCGGATATGTTCGAACGTCAGCAGTTGTGAGTCGTGTGTAAACCGCTTTTCATTCATAAACAGGGGGTTTGGCGGGTGCATGGAATCACTTTTGGATCTTTGTTTGGAGGACGGGCTGTTTACAGCATTGTAGTTCGAACAAAATTCGTCAGTGAAGCACTTGTTCCGGAAGTGTTCGAACGAAATCAGTTGTAAGTCGTGTGTAAACAGTTTATTCAATCATAAACAGGGGGGGTTGGCGGGTGCATGGAATCACTTTTGGGTCTATTTGGAGGACGGGCTGCCAAACCCCCCCGTTTTGTGAATGAAAAACGATTTACACACGACTCAACTGATGATGTTCGAACATTTCCGGAACAAGTGCTTCACTGACGAATTTTGTTCGAACCACAACGCTGTAAATGCTTCACCTACGTACTACAAATACAAATAATCATCAATAGAACCTAAACCCCTAATTTACAATGCACAATATGCTAGTATATTATTAGTTTATATTACAAAATTCCTGTTTTGACTGAACAGCATGTTAAAATTTATGAATGCGTCTGTGGGATCGACCGCTGGATGGAATGTTCGAGTCGAGGACGGGTTGCGTTATTATAATGTCACTTAATCCTTCATTATACAAGTTAAGAGTACAATGCTGCACACAAGCCGAAATAATTACTTTAAACAATTACCAAAACTAATAGGTAGCGGGTGTCTGCGAAATGTACACTCCCCCCGGACAAGCCTGGGTCGTGTACACTCCCACCGGACAAGCCTGGGTCGTGTACACTCCCACTGGACAAGCCTGGGTCGTGTACACTCCCACCGGACAAGCCTGGGTCGTGTACACTCCCACCGGACAAGCCTGGGTCGTGGACACTCCCGCCGGACAAGCCTGGGTCGTGTACACTCCCGCCGGACAAGCCTGGGTCGTGTACACTCCCGCCGGACAAGCCTGGGTCGTGTACACTCCCACCGGACAAGCCTGGGTCGTGTACACTCCCACCGGACAAGCCTGGGTCGTGGACACTCCCGCTGTGTATGTCAGTAAAACTGACCCAGAAAATGAGGGCACGTTTCCTCGACGAGCCAAATACACAAGTTTTAGAGTTATTGACTACTGCAGTGGATGGTGGTAATTATCAAAAGAAGGCATCAAACCGGGAAGGCTATGTAGCACCATCAAATGCGCGGGATAATCAGAGTGCGCTAAATATCACCAAGGACGCCAATACGAGAACAGAAACGCAAAAGGCGAACGATATCAAAAGTATCCGAATCACCAAGAATACTATCGAGACAAGCAACCGCGGGGGACGGTCGGAAAACAAGACACGCTCGTCCCAGAAGTCAGAACATTCAACAAGGATATGCACAACTGTAAGAGGGACAATGCAATTAGGACAATGTGGAGCAGGGCGGTGCTCCATCAAGTGACCATGGGTTAAGCGAGTATGGCTAATACGCAACCTCTCCAGAGCCGTTTCCCATCGCCGGTTACGGTGGTCGAACGACGGCCACGAGGACAACTTAAGAGAACGTAGTTTGTTACCAGTAACAGACGACCAACAAGCCTGCCAACGGGTAAGGATGGAGGAATGGATAACCGGGTAAAAGTCGGAATATGGAATACCTTTACGAGAGATGGGACAAGAGCGGACAGCCTCCCTGGCGGCAGCATCCGCACGCTCATTTAAAGACACCAATATGGCTGGAACCCAACAAAACTCAACCGACTTAAATTTACTGTGAACAAGAAGCAGCCAATGCTAGATCTCGACAACCACTGGATGAAGCAGATTAAAGGACCCGAGAGCCATGAGGGCACTACGAGTCAACTACAAAGGAAGATTGACAACGAGAGAGCAGGAGACGAAGAGCATAGAGAATAGCATAAAGCTCCACTGTAAAGATGCTAGTCTCCGGAGGTAAGCGACACACAAGTTTGATCAGGAAAAACAGTAGCCAACACCGTTCGCAGACTTAGACCCATCGGGGTAGACAGAGCGGGAGTGAGAAAAGTGCTCAAGGAAAAGGCGTTTTAGAACTGTAGGAGGGGTAAAAGCTTTAGGAATGCGGGTCAAGGACGTACAAAACTGCGGAAGGGGGACTCCTCGGGGGCAAAGAAGGAACTACGAGGAGAAATTAGAAATACGAACGGAAATAGAATCCTGTAAGCGAGATAACCAGACAAAGGGAGCTGGTGAAGAGGAACAGGTACCGCAGGAGGGGTAAAAGTTAAAAGCACGACAGAGGCGAGAGGAAGGATTTAAGGACCGCGCTAGATAGCGAAGACAGTAGCGATCACGGCGGTCCTGGAGAGACAGGAAGCCAGTGTCAACATACAAACTGAGGACGGGAGTCTAACAAAGGCACCAGAACCGAGGCGCAACCCAGTTTGGGGAAAAGCATCAAGACGGCGACGAGTAGAAGCAGCAGACGAGTAAGCAGGGCAACCATAATCGAGCCTAGACAGGACGAGAGAGGAATGTAAAGCAAGGAGAGTGCGCCTATCCGCTCCCCAAGAAGTATGGGACAATACCCGAAGGAGGGTAAAGGTCTTAGAGCACTCAACACGGAGGTAAGAGACATGGGGGCGACCAAGACAAACTAGTGTCAAAGAATAACCCCAAAAGCTTAGCAGAGTCTTTGTACTCAAGGGGATGACCACAGAGGGGACGAAGAAAGACCCGTTTCCGAGTAAAAGTCATGGCACAAGTCTTGGTAGTAGAGAACTTTAAGCCATGATCGGTGGCCCAAGACGACACGGCATCAACCGCAAGTTGAAGCCGGCGTTGAAGGAGAGGCGAATCATCCTGACAGCAAAGGGCAAGATCGACAGAGCGGAGAAGACTCTTTAAGGAAGAGAGGAAAGACCATTGAGGGCAACTCTAAAGAAAAAAAAGTTCTCTGAACACTACCCTGGGGTACACCCTCATACTGCCGAAAAGGTGCAGAGAGAGTAGTACCAAGCCACACACAAAGGAACGACTAGAGAGGAAGCTCTGGAGGAAGATGCCCACGAAGGCCAAAAGAATGAAGTCGAGACAGAATATGATACCATCAGGTAGAAGGCCACAAAAAGACAGATCTGTCCCAAGGAGCATCACACTCCAGCAGCCGCCCACCAAGCCCCCCCCCCCCCCCCCCCCCCACGGCATCAACAGTGGTGGGTGAATTACAGTCACCCGCATCAATAGTTATAAATGGGAAATCTTATTTATGCAATTTAAAAAATTTACAATAGCTAGCATTACTACACGAAGTGTTCCCACTCCATCGGTTCCGCAGGGAGCGAATAATCTTAAATACTTTAGTCTGGTCAACACGGAGTCAGTGTATACTTGCAGAGGTGCTTCTGGCAGCAAGTCAAGTTGTATAGTTTACAAGTCTCCAGACATTAGTGGACACACCGGAGTGACTGCTTTTTGCGTGGTCGCAAGAGGGTAATTGCTGGTGTAGATCGCACCGCACAATTTAGGCTTCGTTTTAGTAATTGTTACTGTTGAAGCTACTTACAAGGTAAGGAGAGATTAAGAGTAAACTTTTAAACTTTGTTGAAGTATTCCTCAAGTAACGCATTAGTTGTATCATGTATTTGGGGGGGGGGGGCGAACTATCATTAAACCGTTACTCTTACTACCAAGTCACCAGGTAATGAAAGAACGCAAAGCCATTCAACGGTAGACTAGTTTATTATGCCAGTTACATCCGTCCTCAGAGTGGTATAGTGCGGACAGAACTTATAGTAATTATCTCTGAAGCAGGTTAATCCCCCGTTACAAATTTTGTCCAAACAGGTCGTAACCTGGACAACTTATTTACCATTTATTAACGTAAATACACTTGTTAATAAAATAACATACGTGAAGAGGCTTTTATATAATGGGTTTGTAGAAGTTACAGTATTAGTGGCACTACCACTACTAAAAAGTGGAGGGGGTAGAAATGTATGGATAACTGGCAGTTATCCTACCTATTCGTTACACAATAGGAAAATAAAATAGTACACGCACAAAACACCAAGTTTATAATTAAGATTTTACGTTTTTTTTACATTTTTCATATGTGCAAAATATGTTAATCACTACGAGAACACTATAAATACATGGTTAGAGAGTGCCCAAATAACAACCAGTTGAAGAGTGAAGCAGAGGAGGTTGGAGGCATGTTCTGCAGCCCCAGCCGAGAGTCGTGCGTGGGCTACACTCACAGCATCATTCGGGTTGACAGATTTGTTGAACTGTAGCCTCATGCATTGAGGCGAGTCGGTATACTGCCAGTAGTTGTCCCAGACCTAAAAGTTAGGATATCTGTTTAATTGCAAGTGGGGAAACATTTGTACTAGTAAAGCTACTGCAATATCGAGCTTGTTAAAATTGTTGGTTAAAAAACCCTTAAAGTGTGCAAATAGCAAGACTACAGTGCTTCTTTAAGAGAAAAAAACTGCAAGGGAATAGTTTAAAGTGGCAAGTGAAAACATTGAAGACTAAACCGTCTTGCAGGATAAGATTGCTAAACTAGATGCACTAAACAGGAGCAGTAGTCGCTTAGAACTTTTCTAAATATGGAATTCAGAAAAATTGACTCTAGTTGCTAAACTTGGGAAGTCAGGCTTTTATAAAGTTTACACTACCACGGTCATTTTAGGTAGAATATTTGTTTGGGCAAGACTACTAGAATTAATGCAATATCAGAAAGGCCTTTTTGGCGGCCCTTCCCCCTCCAGCAGTTTTATCAACCTAAATTACCATACGAATATCTTATGTTTCGAACAATCTAGGGATCCAATTACTTGGATATCAAGTTTGGTTCTATTCATACCTCCCGCAAAATCTCTTGCTAGAATGGTTACATTTATATGTAGTAACTGCCTTTCTAGAGGATGCAAGTGAAGATTTAATCTAAACGGTAGGTTCGTAATTCGCAGAACAAGGCCTCCTATGCTGAACGCCTACAAATTAGAACACGTTGTATGGTGACCAGGATTTAACTACAACTTTAATGGGGTTCCAAGAAGAGAATTTAAGAACAGACTTTCATTGCAAACAAACTATTCTAGTAATAAACCCCAATATACTATGTTCATTATTTCCAACATTAAAGGTTTGTATATTTTGAGCTTTAAAGTTATTGGCAAGAATCTTTCATGCATTTAAAGACGCATGAAAAATTAAAGTACCCGAGCTTCCCACTTTATAAGGGACGTATATTTACAGCTATGCCCATTAATTTAGTACTCCAAGTACCTTAGATTTATAGTCAACTTTTAGCCAAGGCAAGTTTATGTGAAACATACCTTTTCGCAGAAGTTTCGGCTAGTTTTGTAGATTTTTTCAATGGTTTCACAAGTAGAGTTAATGGGGCAGTAATTTGTCAAGCAGCTCTTGTTAGTTGGACAACCATCAGTCATGTTCAGCCACCTGAAGTTATTGGTCCAGTTATCTGTGCAAGTAAGGTCGTGAGCACATGCCTTAAACCATAGTTCACAATCAATGGCACACAGAGGCACGTTCCTGTATCGTACCAGTCCCGACGATGGCGTCTCCTGATGAGGATACAAAGGAATTAACCCTATCATAAAAATTGCTAGTGCCAAGGGAGAAGAAAAGTTTAAGCGTAATTAAACTTACGTTTACACATTTCCCAGAGGAGTAATTTAATATTACTTATATTTTGTGGAACCAAAATGAAACTTAAGACGTAAAAATTTTCCACCCTGTGGCCGAAAGAAAAAAATTAAGATACTTTTTGTAAGCTCTCAAAGCTTACCATCAAGGCCCAAGGGTGAACGTTTGGTGAACATTCACGAAAACATCTATCCAGTACGAAGTGTCGTTTGCAGTTGTCAGACATCGAGCCGTTTCGTGAACAGTGCTCTAAATTGAAGTCTAGACTTGATGCATTCATTCGTTTAGACTCTTCCGTGCAGCAAGATCTATTCTGCCACTGGTGACACTTAAAAGATACAAGATTTACGTAATTTAGATTATAAAGTTTGCTAAAATTTTAGCAAAAAAATAGAGTAAATGTTTATAAAACTAGTTAAATTTGTCCAAGACAGGTTAAACACGTTCACCAGTAGGCTGTGTTGGCCGAGCGTTTTTAAACAAATTCCGTAGTGTACTGCAAAAGTTACGCAACTAGTAAATTTTAAGCTATAATAAAATTAGTAAATAACACTAATAATTTTTTATAGGTTAGCAGATAGGGGTGGCGGAGGATTTTTGGGGTAGGTTTAATTCGTGTCCAGCCTCTTTACCTTTTTAACAAATTAGTAGCTTTAAATTTATTATTGCAAACTTAAAGCCAAGTACAAGTGTTACATACCTGATCAAACTTTGAACTCGCTGGGCCTGGTGCAATTTTTTGAAGCGTTTCGTCTAAACACCAATTTTCTTGGTCGGCGACACCTGGGGATGTTTGGACCATGACCAGCTGCAGCAACACTGCTAAACAGCATAGCATTCTGGAATTTATAAATGATTATTTCACCATTTTACACTTACTATACACTACCTAGTTTAAACCTCTAAGTTTAGCACATTTCGTGAAACTATGAAATTGAAGAAGTTGAAGGCTCGCCAAATTCACTTTGCTAGGTAGGCAGATTTGGGCCACGCCAGTTTTGAGGAAACAAGTCTACATAAAAGGCTGAAGCAAGGGTTTCGTCTAGCAATGCAAGTAGCCAAGGCCTATACCATAGTTGGACAAGTATAATGTTTAATAACCCGGGGAAAATAGGATTTGCGATTACACAGAAATTAGTGAATTTGTTGAAAAAGTTAGCTTTTATGGCAAAAGAAAAAAAAGTCAATTTTCAAAACACGAAGTTTGAGGTTAGGGCAATTTAAGTATTGGTATTAAATTTTTTTAAAGCTGGAATAGTGTGTTCCACATGTAAATTTTAGAGTTAAAAATTCTCCAAATAGCATTACATACATGCAGCAAGTTTAACTACCACAGAAAGCTTACAGAAGCTATTAAAAGTATACATTTTCAATTACAGTCCTAAATAGCTTAAGCTTTGTTTACAGAGCGATCGCGGTAATAAAGTTTTCTTACACCTCCCGCCCCCACCAAATGTTTTATCATACTTTTAGCTTTATATGCAGTGCGAGGCTTTAAGGTACCGAAAGGCCTATTGTATCCCGAGCACCAAAAAGGTTAAAATATTAACCAGTTTTCTACCTACAAATATATATATATTACGTATAAAGTCCATCATTACTTAATATACACTTATTACCTTGCCTGATACAAGATTCACATAGCATTACCTCGGAATGTATGAGGAAGATCCAGAAGACACGAGAGCTGCGGTGGTAGACATGGTGGTGGTGGTGGAGCCGTAGAGGAGACTGAGGACCAGCCGGTGGTGGGGTGCGCTCGACGCCTCGCTTCCTCCGCCTCACGCTCTGACTGAAGCTTCGGCTTCATTACCCGAAGAGCTCAAGAGTTCATGCCCGTGCCACCTCTTGGGTGACATAATCTTCATCAAGCAGATCAAGAGTTACAGCTCGTGATCTCCTATACACACCTCCTGACGTACACACTTCCGAGACACAGAGCGAGATACGCTACACCAAGGGCTTAGTTAATGACCTCAGGGAACACGATGTACTCGACTGCTGCAAACCTCTTCGACAGTGTAACAAGTCTTCTCCATGGAAAGTACAGAAAATAGAAGACGAAATTGTACCCATGAAGGTACAAAAGATTCATCATACACCGGGATAACTACGGTGTTAGTATGGAAGCATGATATCTGGGTTACCTAGAGGCAATAGTGTACATGCATATTGTGACGGGTCGGTGGCGGAGGATAGCAGGGCAGGGTGTGGTGTCCTAATGAGGGAATATACTGAGCTTGGACAGGAAAATTGAATTTCGACTTAGTAATTATATATCATCCATACAAGCTGAACTGCAAGCCATTCTGGCTGGTTTGGAGAAAGTTCGTCAAGACGAAAAAGATGTTTTTGTATTTGTCGATAGCCGAGGAGCACTTGATTCCTTAAACAGTCGAAATCCAGTCTTCATGTCCATAGTTGAGGATTGTAAGTAAATGATAAATGAGATACAGCTGAAAGATCACAATGTGAAATTCATGCGGATTCCATCTCATGTTGGAATAGTGCTCAACGAGGTGGCGGATGACTTGGCCAAACGTGCCACATCAACACCACAAGTTTACATTGAATGAGACAAATAAGAAGCAAAATTAAACATATTCAGACATATGCAGAAGTGGCGAGGAGAGGTATAATGTATGAGGGAAGCCAAACCATGCAACACTGCATGTGTGTGTTTGTCAAAACATCCATTTCACTTATGGTAAAAGAAGACATGCTTGGAGTGACTGTACACATGCGGTTCAGGCTTGGGTACAAATATTACTGGCAATATGGAACAGGTGTTAATGATAATGACATGAAGTGTAAACTATAGGTTTTTTTTACTTTACATGCCAAGGCATACCACAAAAAATGCAAGAAAAGAAAAGGCACCGAAGTACCACCACCAAACAAAAGTACAAAACAGCAGTTAACACAATAACCAGCATCAAACAAGCACAAATTTTCAAGTACAGGTCACATCCTAAAACGGAACATTGATAAGGATAAAGAATAAAAGAAAAAAAAGTACAAAATCCACACATAATTCAAGGGGTACAAAATATTAGGCACCGAAGCACCCCAAAGACATAACACGCCAACAAAACACGATGCAAAACACCAAACAACAAATACATCACAAAATGCAGCACAAGTACAGAGCACTTAAAGTACACGGGAGCACAGTAACAGAAACACAAGGACATAACAAAATCACCGAACACAGGGCCGCAAATTACAAGTACAAAAATAGTAGAAGGAACAACAACAGCTTACGGCAAGATATTATCATCATATTAGTTATTCATCTCTGCTCAGCAGGTAAGACTTACAGATATTTATCCGGAAAAATCAGTCTTTGGATACTGGAAACAGTAGGCATCCCAGAGCGTTCAGTCCCATTTCTCAAGGCCACCGCTGGGCGGCGCCACAGGGCGCTGCGTGTACTCCAGAATCTCAAATTTGAAGGCCCTCACGGGCTCCACTCACACAGGAGGCAGAGGCAAGGGGTGAGAATAGCTTGAGCTACCTCATCATTTATACTTTAATAAACTTATTTCAATTCAATTTCCTATACTCGATAATCTCTCATATCCCCGTAGCAGTCTGATAATCTCATAGCAGTCCCCGTGGCGCAGTAGTGACACACTCGCCTGGCGCTTCGCAAGCGCTTTGGCCTGGGTTCGTATCCTGGCCGGGAGGATTGACTGGGCGCCAATCCATAACTGTAGCCTCTATTCACCCAGCAGTGAATGGGTACCTGGTGGCTAAACGATTTGGCGCGTCGTATTCCAGTGAAAATTTGGATTAAGGACCTGCCCGAAATGCTATGCGTGCTAGTGACTTTACAAGAATGTAAGAACTCTTGTATAAATAAATAAATAAAAAAATATGCTGCAGTTCTATATATATTTATATGTGATAAAAGCTATTGCAACAGTGACTCAGGTCTCAGATCCTACTGTGGTACAACTCCAACACCTTCCCGACCTCTCTACAACCTCCCCTTCCTTTCCCGGGGCTCCACATGCAGACCAAAACAACATGGTGGATCAGCAACTTGTCCTAAGGCTAGGTTCTATATATATTATTTAAATTAGGTGCTGGGCTTTAGGCCTATAAACCTCTGGTGGTATATTAAGGTAACTATCCCGTCCTCGTCAACAACAGGCCGTCCTCGTCAACAACAGGCCGTCCTCGTCAACAACAGGTCGTCCTCGTCAACAACAGGCCGTCCTCGTCAACAACAGCCCGTCCTCGTCAACAACAGCCCGTCCTCGTCAACAACAGCCCGTCCTCGTCAACAACAGGCCGTCCTCGTCAACAACAGCCCGTCCTCGTCAACAACAGCCTGTCCTCGTCAACAACAGGCCGTCCTCGTCAACAACAGCCCGTCCTCGTCAACAACAGGCCGTCCTCGTCAACAACAGCCCGTCCTCATCAACAACAGCCCGTCCTTTTTATTTATGTATTTATTTATTTATTTATATACAAGAAGGTACATTGGGTTTGTGAGGATACATAGCGAAGTATTTACACTCTTGTAAAGCCACTAGTACGCGCAGCATTTCGGACAGGTCCTTAATCTAACAGATAATTTTAAGTAGGTAAATTCTAGCAGAATTAATAAAATGATAACAAATACATTGCAAGAAAAAAAATGAGATGAGAGAGATTAGTAAGTATATTAAAGCACATTGGTATATTAAAGCTCTGATTGATTACATTGACAGCTTGATTGGTAATTTAAACAAGATTAATAGACACCATACAGCAGATTACAGCTGAAAGATCACAATGTGAAATTCATGCGGATTCCATCTCATGTTGGAATAGTGCTCAACGAGGTGGCGGATGACTTGGCCAAACGTGCCACATCAACACCACAAGTTTACATTGAATGAGACAAATAAGAAGCAAAATTAAACATATTCAGACATATGCAGAAGTGGCGAGGAGAGGTATAATGTATGAGGGAAGCCAAACCATGCAACACTGCATGTGTGTGTTTGTCAAAACATCCATTTCACTTATGGTAAAAGAAGACATGCTTGGAGTGACTGTACACATGCGGTTCAGGCTTGGGTACAAATATTACTGGCAATATGGAACAGGTGTTAATGATAATGACATGAAGTGTAAACTATAGGTTTTTTTTACTTTACATGCCAAGGCATACCACAAAAAATGCAAGAAAAGAAAAGGCACCGAAGTACCACCACCAAACAAAAGTACAAAACAGCAGTTAACACAATAACCAGCATCAAACAAGCACAAATTTTCAAGTACAGGTCACATCCTAAAACGGAACATTGATAAGGATAAAGAATAAAAGAAAAAAAAGTACAAAATCCACACATAATTCAAGGGGTACAAAATATTAGGCACCGAAGCACCCCAGAGACATAACACGCCAACAAAACACGATGCAAAACACCAAACAACAAATACATCACAAAATGCAGCACAAGTACAGAGCACTTAAAGTACACGGGAGCACAGTAACAGAAACACAAGGACATAACAAAATCACCGAACACAGGGCCGCAAATTACAAGTACAAAAATAGTAGAAGGAATACAACAGCTTACGGCAAGATATTATCATCATATTAGTTATTCATCTCTGCTCAGCAGGTAAGACTTACAGATATTTATCCGGAAAAATCAGTCTTTGGATATTGGAAACAGTAGGCATCCCAGAGCGTTCAGTCCCATTTCTCAAGGCCACCGCTGGGCGGCGCCACAGGGCGCTGCGTGTACTCCAGAATCTCGAATTTGAAGGCCCTCACGGGCTCCACCCACACAGGAGGCAGAGGCAAGGGGTGAGAATAGCTTGAGCTACCTCATCATTTATACTTTAATAAACTTATTTCAATTCAATTTCCTATACTCGATAATCTCTCATATCCCCGTAGCAGTCTGATAATCTCATAGCAGTCCCCGTGGCGCAGTAGTGACACACTCGCCTGGCGCTTCGCAAGCGCTTTGGCCTGGGTTCGTATCCTGGCCGGGAGGATTGACTGGGCGCCAATCCATAACTGAAGCCTCTATTCACCCAGCAATGAATGGGTACCTGGTGGCTAAGCGATTTGGCGGGTCGTATTCCAGTGAAAATTTGGATTAAGGACCTGCCCGAAATGCTATGCGTGCTAGTGACTTTACAAGAATGTAAGAACTCTTGTATAAATAAATAAATAAAAAAATATGCTGCAGTTCTATATATATTTATATGTGATAAAAGCTATTGCAACAGTGACTCGGGTCTTAGATCCTACTGTGGTACAACTCCAACACCTTCCCGACCTCTCTACAACCTCCCCTTCCTTTCCCGGGGCTCCACATGCAGACCAAAACAACATGGTGGATCAGCAACTTGTCCTAAGGCTAGGTTCTATATATATTATTTAAATTAGGTGCTGGGCTTTAGGCCTATAAACCTCTGGTGGTATATTAAGGTAACTATCCCGTCCTCGTCAACAACAGGCCGTCCTCGTCAACAACAGGCCGTCCTCGTCAACAACAGCCCGTCCTCGTCAACAACAGCCCGTCCTCGTCAACAACAGCCCGTCCTCGTCAACAACAGCCCGTCCTCGTCAACAACAGCCCGTCCTCGTCAACAACAGGCCGTCCTCGTCAACAACAGCCCGTCCTCGTCAACAACAGCCCGTCCTCATGAGCAACAGCCCGTCCTCGTCAACAACAGCCCGTCCTCGTCAACAACAGCCCGTCCTCGTCAACAACAGCCCGTCCTCGTCAACAACAGCCCGTCCTCGTCAACAACAGCCCGTCCTCGTCAACAACAG